GTTAGAGTCTTACTTGATAGAACTACCCTCAATGCTGTCTCTTCGATTAGCACTTCCATTGGTACTACTTCTCCCTACAGCACTACATTTGATGCTACCTCATCTGGTCATACTCCCTTTGATACTACCTTTCCTGGCAGCACTTTCCTCAATGATACCTCTTCTAGCAGTACTCCCCTCTGTGCTGCCTCTTCTAGCAGTACAGCTTTACTCAGAACAACTCTTAATGATATCACTTCTCTATACACAACTCCCTCTGGCCACACTTTCTCTAGTACCCTTACTTCTTGCATGTATCAAGTATAACAAATAATTTTCTCTCCTTGAATTAATTAAGGCTAGTGAATTGGATCCTGCTTTACGCTATGGCCACCCACGACTTTTATCTGAGTCTGATAAGGATGACATTATCAAATTTGTGAGAAGTAGCTTTGTCTCATGACGTTTACGCCTGTGGGATATACAACAAGAATCTGACTTCACTCATGTAACTGATTTAACAGTTTTTAGAGCTTTAGTTAAGCATAGCATACATGCCTATTAGGATGTTTTTAAGTTTATTTTAAGTGTGGAAAATCAAATCAAATGTATAGTTAGTGTGTTTTATTTATCTACTATCAGTATAATTGAACAAATGGCAAACAGATAATCTTAGAATTATTGTATGCCTCATGTGAATTGGCTTCTAGAGACTGAATAGGCCAACTACGTTTTTACTGACGAGATGTCTATTGAAATTGGTGGCATTTATGGCCCCTCTACAGTATGGGAAAAAAAAGGTGAGCAGTAGCATGACGATTGTGTTGGAGTCACGTAGAAGAGAGGGACTATGGTGATATGATGAGGAATGATTGGTTGAAACTGGAAAGGACCATTGTAACGTGTTTGCAAGGTGCTAGTCACGTTATCAGTAAAGATACGATAGTTGGCAGGTGGCCTACTGTACCAGAGAGAAGGCAAGAGCTGAGAACTAAAGGAGATTTCGAAGGTGTACTGAGGAACAAAGAAGTAACCATTCAACCAAGTATATTGAAATACTGTTTGTCGAAGTCTGCTATTTCTATTGTTGAATCAGGCAGTCTTTAAATACACAAATCTGTTCATATCTAGTCTGAATGAAACTAATCAAAGGTATCAATCGATACACTTTGATAAAACTAATTAAGTATTAAAATGATACTTAAAACAAAATATAAAATAAAACCAAGTATCAAATGATACTTAAAACAAACTAAGTATCAAAACGATACTTAAAACAAACTAAGTGTCAAAATGATACTTAAAACAGAACATAAAACAAAACCAAGTATCAAACAATACTTAAAACAAACCAAGTATCAAAGCGATACTTAAAACAAAATATAAAACAAAAACAAGTATCAAACGATACTTAAAACAAACTAAGTATCAAAGTGATGCTTAAAACAAAACATAAAACAAAACCAATTATCAAACGATACTTAAAACAAACCAAGTATCAAAGTGATACTTAAAACAAAACATAAAACAAAACTAAGTATTAAACGATACTTAAAACAAACCAAGTATCAAGGCGATACTTAAAACAAAACATAAAACAAAACTAATAACCGATTACCTATACTGGTTACAACTATTTTGGGTGTGGGAACCAAAAACAGAGGAGGAAAAGGTCACTGTTATTGAGGGTATAGTAGTTTACAATACAAATTGCACAGCAGAAGAGAAGTAGTTGAATGATTCTTGGAGGATAAGTATTGGGTGGAGGCAATTAAAAGAGCAGGAGTTGAAGGTACTACGGGAGACAAAGATTGAAGCTCAGAGAATGGAAGTTAAGATTAAAACTACTCAGTCATGGAGAGGGAAAAGGTATAAGGTGAAGGCGCTTAAGAGAGGAAGTGACACTGGTGGAGTAGATTTATGGGGGTATGTTACTGCTCTTGCCTGGCTACTGCTTTGGCCCACTTGTAAGAAACATATATGGCAAAATCCTGATTTTCTTTTAATGGAAAACAATGCTCCTGCTTATTACTCAGACTTTACTATATTAGAAAGTGTTAAAGCAGGTATACTGAAGGTAGATTGGCCTCTCAATTCGCCCGATTTTAACCCTATTGAGCATTTATGGTAGTCGATGAAGTCACTAATACAAATATGGTGGTGGTATGTGTGAGTTATAAGTGTAAGTGAAATGAAGGAGGTATTACAGCAAGAATGGGAGCAGATTACAGTTCAGGAGGTTAATAAAGAGATATCTAAGCTTCATAGAGTTATGGTTAAATGTATTGATTAGCAGGATAGAAACAAGTTCTATGGCTAAATAGATGGGGGAGCTGTGCAGCAGCAAATTCTATAGCTAGTTATTTTATTGAATATACCAGATTTTAGATTGCACTAAGAACCTGTAGCCTTAGCGCCAAGGTGTCCAAATACTTTCAAAATTTTTTAGTACCCTCAGATGACTCAGAATTTGATTATGTAAGTTTTTTGATAATTAATTTTAAAATTTTGATTAAGGCTCTGTTTAGCATGTACAGTCGTGTCCGGAAAGTAATGATACTCTTCCACAGCAGCTACAACTACCACTATTAATGAAATCAACCATAGAAACAATAAAAGTAGAAACTCAATTAAGAAAGTAGATACAATAAGCTTTCAAAAAATCCTACTACACTTTATATAACCTCCTTCTTTATCCAATACAGCCTGAATTCTCTCTAGCATCCTAACTATCCACCCATCTAATGTCTCCTGAGGAATTAAATCCCACTCTTTCTTTGCTGCCAGAAATAATTCAGTAGCAATGTGGAGCCTTCTTTCCAATCTGGAGAAACAATATCTGAGAGCTCTTTAGAGAAGTGGCTAAGAATTCTCAATTGGATTGAGATCTGGGGAGTTAGATGGCCAAGACAATTTCTGATAACTAGAGTCTGAGTGCAATTTCTGATTTTCTGCACTACTATGCCATGAGACATTAACTGCAGCTTGGTAGATGTTTTTAGAAGGTCTATCAAGACCTTCTATAAAAGGGATGAGGTAAGGCTAGTGGATCTCAGTTGCATATTGGTGGGAATTAAGGCTAAGTCTATCTCTTTTGCTAGTCCTTTCCTCCTCAGTCCTCTTCCTCACAAGAATTAACTCAGTCCTGCCACTCTTCATTATTGTAGCATAGACCCCTATACTAGTCCTTCCTGACTTAAAGCTAGGCTTTAAGTTTTTTTCCTCCAACTCTTCACCAGCTCTTATCCTGACCTTCCTTCTAGTAGGATTTGAATTATTGATAATTGTAGCTTCATCAATAAAGACCACCCAATTCCATGCCCTCCTCCAATTCCTCCTTCTTCTAGCAAACTCCTTTTTCTTTTCCTTTTGCGCTTTTCTCTAAAAAGGCTTTTTCCTTGGAATCAAAAGCTTAAAACCAGTGTCTGGTATGATTTTATCTATACTGGTCTTGCCAAGACCAATATTTGCTTTTTGGGTCATTTTGCGAAATGCTAAATAAGGCTTGGCATCGATAATAGCCTCTACTACTCTGCTTTTGGCATTGGTAATCTTTGTTGGGCAGCCAAACTTGGAAGCATAGTTGGTATCTCTACCTCTTTCTTTGGCTCAAGTTACAACCTTTTGAACAGTTGCCCTAGAGACTCCCAAAGCCTTTAGAATTTTATAATACCCCATATCTGTATGCTTATACAGGGCATAAATCTCTTGATTCTGATCTTTTTTCTCTCTCTGAGCATATGGTAGAGCCATGGTGGTTGATAGAAA